GTTAAGTCGTAGCTTGTCTGGCTAATAATAGCCCCTTTTTTTTATACATACACGTGAGCATGTATATGGATAGATACATATGTACATATGTATATAGTATATTAGATTGTTTCGGGTAGCGCTCTCAGTTCTCAACGAATTACTTTTTATGGGCTTGTCGAAACTGAAATTCCATTGTGTTCTCTTCTATCATTTGTTTTTCTTTTTCATTCTGCTATTTTGCAAAACTTAAACAAACAAAATATACGCACGGTTAGACAGTAAGACAAAAGAGAAAAGAACAAACCCTATTTGTAGATAAGATTTTATGGACAGTTGACAGTTACAGTTAATGGCGCTGCGCGCTCGTGAACCCCACAAAAATTACTCGAAAAATTAGACACGGTAAAGAAAAAGAAATAAAAATTGTTGATAACACCAGCGAGTCGTAAAAACTGACAATGTGAAGATGTAAACAAAAACTTGACCCATTTAGGTCAAAAATATAGAGTACATAATTCTAAGTAGTGTGGATTCCAGTTTTATAGCCATAGTAACTTACTTATTTTAATGTACTGAATGTTTTAGCTTTTTCCGGTGGAACAATCTGTAATGCCTACATCCGATCGTAATAAAAAACGTCTCTAAGCCTATTTCTAGGATTTACAGTATTTAAAGTCAATCAAATATAACAAAAATACATATCTCAATAAATGCGTAATTAAATATAAAATGCATAAATAAAAATATTTCTTAACATTGTAGCAATATCACTCTATAGTTTGTTCCATTATAATGCAAGCAACAAGGATAGATACATAAGTATATCATCTGTGAGTCATATAGTAATCTGTTTTGAGCTGAGGAACGTGGACTTTGACCGCGAGATCGCAACACTAGAAGTTCAATAAAACGAAACCGATTTCAACTGACTTTTTCGAGTAATTTTTGGATGACTCAGCCGATTTGGACACAAAGCCCGTTTAAGACTGGCGCTCCATTACTTTCTACTTAGATGTAATTCGAAGTAAAAGACAGAAAGAAAAAACAATCCTTACAATTTATGCTTAATTACAAGCAATTTTGCTTTCCACGATTGGAAAATGTCAATTTACAACAAAAAGATACGACAATCTTTTGACATTGGCAATTTATAGAGCAATCAAATCGTATAGCAGGAGGGGTTCTGGGGAATGGCAATGTCTGCAATTAAATTTCAATTTGAATTACGAAATGGAAAGCCCAGATTGGATTGGCTTACGACAGATATTGGAGAAGTGGCACTGGATGTAGATAGCTTTAAGTAGTGTTTGCACAATTGCCTAGGGTTATGCTCATGCAGATAGATGGAGATGTGGAGGAGGTCCATTCATACTCGTTCTCAGCATGAACAAACAATTTTGGTTGTGTTCTATTAAATCCAATAAATATTGTATATTTATATAAATTTTTTAATTTATAATATTACAATGTAATGTGAATAATAAATATTATAATATAAAATTCTTTTCTCTTCTTAGACATTTATATATGAATTTTGGATTTATAATATATATGTCTGATACGAACGAGTATTACGCAGTCGGTTAGCCAGTTCTTTTTGTTGATGCTGCTGCAGTTGATAACTTCAATCGTTGAGAGCAATGGGCGGATGGGGATGAACAACAATTAGACAACAGCTTTAGATTCAGTAACATGAGAGATATCTTAATTGCGTTTACAAACATACACACATACATAAAAATTATTTGCTGGAGTTCAACTGCTTTGAAGTTTGCTGTATCATGTTGGAAAAAGTGATGCTGGACTAAAATGGAAAGCATTTTCAATTATGCAAATGAAAAGGCATTTCACGCGCCACAAAAGTTAACGACCAAGAAAATTTTAATTAAATAGAAAAACCAAATTCGAAAGCCAACAACGGCAGAGCAACTCATCAATTCGACTCTAGCTCAACACAACTCAACCCTTCTCCCTCTCTCTATATGCTCTTACTTTTCTATTCAGAGCCTCATTAAGTTTGACGTTTGCTTTGCTCTTGTAGTTTTCTTGTTGTTGTTGTAGTTGCTATTCAAATTTAGAAGCAGAATGCTTTTCTACCTACTCCGCTGTGCTCTCCCTCTAACTAAAGAAAGAGGCGCATAAAGCGCTGAGTCAAGTGCAAATAGGAAAAGGAGCAAGGGAGACCGGGCGACGAAGAGAGATGGGGCGAGCAAGTGAGCAGGAGGTAACTCAGTGCCGCAGGTGCAGCAGACGCCCGACTAATGCCAATGAACACTGAAGTAGCAGGCCCAATGCCTGACGGCGACTGCATGTCACAAATCATCGCATAGAGAAGGACGGCCAGAGAGAATAGTGATAGTGTAAGAGCCGCGAAGTGCACGTGTGTGGGTGTGTGCGCTTTGTTACTGTGTGCGTGCACATGTGCTCACGCATGGGTCAGTGAGGGCGGCAAGTGGGGTAGCTTATGCTCTCCTGCTTTGCATTCAAATTGATGTTTGTTTTTTCTTTTTATTTTTCAAAGCATCAAATGACAAATGAACAAAATAAATGAATAAATACAAACAAAAGCTTAAGAAATTTTTCTATTATTTGCTCAAATGTGGGACAGCGAATCGCATTTTTATCGCATTTCGAAATGCGTTGCATTGTTGTTGCTGCTACTGCTCAGCACACACACACAAAAACACACAAATACCTACATACATACACACATATTTGCTGAGCGTCTAAAGTATAAGACGCAAGCGTTAAAATATACATTTAAAACAGAGATAAGAAAACAAGAAACTATTGGTGATAAGCGAAGAGCTTGTGATTTTTTATGGACATATTTTCATGGCTAGCAAATGCAGCAAGGATAACTTAGGTAAAGTATTACTAAATTGTGTTAATATGTGTGTATGGGATTTTTTTTTTGCACGTTCAGAGTTTTTCCATTGAATTTGCACTGCTACATATTCGCACATATACTTGGATATGTGTGTGTGAGCGTTCAGTTCATTATGAGAGCGATAAATGAAACTAAGCTCAATGTCGTTTGTAATCTAACGTATCTTTATAATATTTGGTACCGAAAGGTCGCAAAATTTGATTAAATTTATGACTGTCACACCCACTGGCAGAGAGCTTTGGGCGCATACAGTTGTTAATATAATTTCGACACTGAAACAGGTAGAAAAAGAAGGCAGCGCGGACAGGGGCCAAACACGTGTAAATATTCAGAGCAAATAATATGAGTGCTTTGAATGGACAACCATAACTCCATTACGAGACATTGAATTGCGCGAGTGATGTGTAAATACATACACATATAAACATACGTATATATACTTAAAAACCTACACATGCACATGTATGTATGCTCTCTACCTAGCTATTGAACATTGAAAAGGTCAACAAACAAAAGAGCCGACAATTAATATAAAAAAGAAAAGTAATTCACACGTATACACAGGTCGGTGAGAGCATTTCAAAGATATTACTATTGCCATTTCATGGTCATTGCCAATGAATATGCTAGAATTGGTTGTGCATGAATAATGAATGTTTGTTCTCTCACACTCTTACATCTGTGTGCGTGCATGTGTGTATGAGTGAGTGCAACCAGGCGATAGAAAACAGGTTACAGCTACATGAGTGCTCAACACAGAGGCAAAATCTGTGTATTTATGTCTGTGTCGAAAAGTGAAGCGTAGAAATGCGATGGAGGCTGGAAAAAATGGGATGAGATTGAAAGAAAAACGAAATTAATGTGAGCGAAGAGGAAGACAAAACTCTGCGACTGGTGCATGTTGACAGCGACCACATGGCCGGCGAATGCAAGGGAGTGCTGCAGCACAACAACAACAGCAACAACAAAACTACCGTAGCATCGCAGCAGGGGAACCAGACCCAGAGAGACTTATGCTTGAACCGCAAGGTAAGAACAGTACGAGAGCGTAAGTTGTTGTTGTAAGCAGCTTCATATTCTGTTGTTGCTTTTTTTTTTTTGGAAATGAACAACACGCATCTCACCCACACAGCATGAACTGTTTGTTGTTCTAGGAAAAGGTAGGCACTAAATTAAGCACATTGTTTAAACAATTTTGTTGCAGCGTTGAAATTTTAAAAGAAAAACAATGTTTTTGTTTGTTCGAAAAAAAAAAAAATTAACTTAAAAATGTTTTTGCTTTTTTCTAAATTAACACTCACCAATGCCAAATGACTGCTTAGCATTGCAGTCACTCCATACAGCCATTGTGAATACTTGTTGCTGTTGTTACTATTATTGTTAACTTTTACCACACTAATAAACACTCGAACGCACACATATGTATATACTTTCGTTTGCGAAAAAAATAAAAAGCAAACGCGTCGCGAAATATGAGTATAGAAAACAAAAACAATAAATGTTCACTCATGAATGTAAGCAACACGTAGTTGAATCTGATTTAGTTGATCAGAGCCGAAAACATTGAGACTTTCATGTATTATTTTCTTATTTATTGCACAATAATATTGCTGTGTTAATATTTCATTGAATAATATGTTATTTGCACTTCTTTATTAGTCGCCTAAATACGTTCTCATTTTGGGAGTTGGCCGAACATAATCTCTTCTTACGCTCCCGCACTCACACGCATACACACTCGAGCGGGCATATTTCCACTTCGCTGTTTCGTTCACAATTAATTAATTAACCGGAATGAACCCCGCGCGGACCAACCGTGATACTCATTTCAACTGTTGCTCGGCTTCTACTGGGCCAATGTGACCAGCCGTATGAAACGATAAAAATACCGTAACGCAATGATCACAAAATAATAATGTATTAATAATAAAAAATATTTTCGGCTAAGCATTGACATTTGTCTTATATATTTTTTAATATGATGAAGTTATTTAACTATATTTAAAGCTAACATACACAGTAAGAGTATGTTTTAGCTCAAGTTGGTATTTTTATTTCATTGCTAAACGAGGGCTGCATAGCATATAAATTCGTATATATAAACACCTTCGACGGTGCCTGTGAACGGTCTCATTGTTTTCCGCCAGACAAGACATCGTGAAAAATATTCGGCGCGCCATTTCTGTGTTTGTGCTTCCAAAATAACTTTGTGCGGGCTCAATATAATAAAAGTTTCATTATTATTGTTAAACGACTATCCCTTTGATCTTCTGCGAGTTTGCCGCACCCGAATAACAACACAAAGGCACTCACAATCATACACATACATATACATATATATAAACATATAATTATTTGCGCAACCCGAGCTCGTGTTTCACTCCTTTGTGAAATTATTTGACGACTTGCTATTAGTGTTTAGTGTATGTTTGTGTGTACCAATAGCTAGCCGGCAGATCGATCAAGATGTTTGGCGGCGCTAAACCCACATTTGGCACCGGTACCGGAACCACGGGCTTCGGAACGTTCAGCAACAGCGCAGCTGCAACGCCATTTGGTCAATCGGCGTTTGGGAAGCCAGCGACCCCAGCGTTTGGAGGCACATCCGCTTTTGGCGCCCAACCAACGCAGCCCTCGATGTTTGGCACCACACCGGCAGCGAATCAACAGCCTGGCGGCTTGTTTGGTAGCTCGACGACAACCAGCGCTTTTGGCGGCACCACCACAGCGCCCTCATCATTTGGAGGTTAGAGACGAATAATATCCTTTAAATGAGCTATGATGACTTGCTAATGAATTATGTGAGACTCTAGAGTCGTAGAATAAATGCATACATATGCAGCCTTTCTGCTTATAAATAATTTAATGCAATATATATGTATTAAATAATTTCATAGCAAGTACTAATGCCTTTAATGATTTCTTATTTTATTCCAGCATTTTCACAAGCTCCGCAAACATCCAACATATTTGGCTCCACGCAAGCAGCTCCAAACACCTCGCTATTTGGGCAGGGTGCGACGAGTGCCTTTGGCGCCGCAAAACCCGCCACTTTGGGCCTGAGCAGCTTTGGACAAACTCCGGCAGCCCAACCACTGTTTGGTCAGCAAGCGACTGCTGCGAGCACTTCGGGCTTTGGCGGTTTTGGTCAGGCGGCGCCAACGACGACAAATGTGTTTGGCAGTGGCGCTGCGTCGGCATTCGGACAACCGCAAGCTGTTGCTGTGGGGGCGGCGGGCGGTGTCAATCCGGGCACTTCAGTGGCCAAGTACCAGCCCACCATAGGTACGGACACGCTCATGAAGGGTGGGCAGGCAAACAATGTGAATACAAAACAACACTGCATTACCGCAATGAAAGAGTACGAGATGAAGTCACTGGAGGAACTGCGTCTAGAGGACTATCTGAGTTCTCGCAAAGGTCCACAGGCTGGCAGTGCGCCGGGTGGTTTCGGTTTTGGAAGTCCTGCTACCGGCACGCAACCCGCGGCCACGGGACTCTTCGGCTCACCGGCCCAGCAACAGCCCAGCACTGGCTTGTTCGGACAGACGGGCACCGAGAATAAGAGCCTGTTTAACACCTCGGCCTTTGGCCAGCCAGCAGCAACCAGCGCCTTTGGTGCACCCGCCCAGCAGAACAATTTCTTGCAGAAACCGTTCGGAGCTACCACGACTGGAGGCTTTGGTACCACAGCTACGGACGCTTCGAATCCGTTTGGCGCCAAGCCTGTGGGCTTTGGGCAGACCGGAAGCCTGTTTGGCCAGACGAACGCCACGAGCTCAGCACCGGCATTTGGACAAACCACGACTGGCTTCGGTGGTTTCGGAAGCAGCGCTGGCGCAACCACTCAGGCAACGCCGTTGTTTGGAGCAACCACTGCAAATGATCCCAATAAACCCGCCTTTGGTCTGGGTGCTTCGGTGTCGCAACCGACTAGCGGATTCGGTGGCTTTGGTGCGCCGGCAACCAGCACAGCTGGCGGCGGCGGCCTATTCGGATCCAAGCCGGCTACGAGCTTTGCAGCGCCTGCCTTTGGTGCCAGCTCCACAGCAAACACAGGCTTCGGCAACTTTTCGTTGAGCAACACAAATGCGGGCACCGGAGGCGGCTTGTTCAACTCAAATCTCAACAAGCCAGCAACCTCAGCCTTTGGTGGCTTTGGATCCACCTCGTCGGCGCCGCTCAATTTTAATGCTGGTAACGCTGGCGGTTCCCTGTTCAGCAATGCTAGCAAGCCTGGCGGCGGACTTTTCGGCGGCACATCTACCCTGGGCGGAGCCACTGGCACAGCTACCGGTGGAGGCGGTCTCTTTGGCAACACCAACCAAAGTGGCTTTGGATCGTCATTGGGTGGCGGTTTTGGTACGCTTGGTGGTGGCGCTAATACTGGTCTATCGGGCTTAGGTGGAGTGGGCGCCGCTCCTGCTGTTGTCATGGTGCCTATACATCAGCAGATTTTATCCAAGGTGACATCGCCATACGGTGATACGCCAATTTTCAAGGATCTGAAGCGTAACGATGACGTGGACGCCACACGTGCCACGAATCCCGCCGCTCAACAGGCGGTACTGGACATGAGCAATAACCAGTTCAAGGTAACAAATAAGGACGGTCCATCCAGCGTTCGCGTAAAGGCGCTGGGCACCTCCAATAATCGCAAGTCCATGTTCGAAGGCCTGGAAGAGTTTGACGCCAGCGTAGAAGGCTTCAATCTTAAACCAAACGTCAAGCGGCTAGTGATAAAGCCCAAAGCGGCGACACAGGGCTCTGCCACAGGCGAGGATAACAGTGCGGCCCTGAGCCATGGCAACAGTAACAGCAACAGCAACAACGGCACCCCAATAGTGGGTATAGTGCGTCCGCAACGTGAATCATTCAATGGTGCCATACCCAACGAGCCGGCACAAGCCGGAAATGGTCAAACCTCACCAACTGCAAACAAAGCTGATCAGGACAGTAGCCGCCGTGAGTCGTGGTTGCATCCAAATAACTTGGCAAAGGTGCGCCAGCACAATCTACAGACGGGCATAGATCAGGCACCTTTAAATAGCACCCTCACAGAATTGGTACCACGCAAACCCCTTGAAACCTACAAAAGCGCAGTGCCAACACGTCTCTCTGTCTCTACAATTCCGGAGAATCCCTTTGAGGATCAGGTCAGCAGCATTGTGCGACGGGAAACTTTCAACTCGGAGCATGGTAATGACACTACACTGTCCATACGCTCCATCGATTCGGAGCAACGCTTATCCGTCGAGCCAACTGTCGAAGCAGAAATCAATACTGACGCTGACTATGAGCCCCACCCAACGGGTATTGTGCTCCGCCGTGTGGGCTACTATACCATACCTTCTCTGGAGGACCTCAAGTCGTATCTGGCCGAGGATGGGTCCTGCGTGGTGCCCAATTTTACAATTGGTCGCGAAGGTTACGGCAACGTTTACTTTGGCAAAGAGCTTGACGTGGCCGGCCTCAATCTGGATGAGATTGGTAATTGCTTGATTACTTGTTTACGTTACGCAAAGTATTTTAATCATCTTTCCTTGCTCCGATAGTACATTTTCGCAACAAAGAGGTCATAATATATCCGGACGATGACAATAAGCCACCCATCGGCCATGGATTGAATCGTGAAGCTCAGGTTACATTGGATCAGGTGTGGCCATTAGACAAGACCAAGCATGAAGCCATCAAGGATCCACAGCGCTTGCTGGAAATCGACTGGGAGGGCAAATTGCGTCGCGTCTGTGATAAGAATTCAACACGTTTCATTGAGTATAGGCCAGAGACAGGCAGTTGGGTGTTCCGCGTCAAACACTTCTCCAAGTACGGTCTGAACGACAGCGATGAAGATGACGATGTGCCCACGGATCCTAAAAAAGCCAAAACAATAGCCACGGATGCGCAACGCATAGTTGCCACTTCCACCGATAAAGTGAGCTTGACCTCGCAGCACAAGGCCCAACGGATCTCGGAAGAGGCCGCACGCAACATAGATCCAAAATCATTGGCCGCCGGCGTTGCCAGCGGCTTTCGCCCCATGGACAACTCGGCGGAGTTTCTAATGATGGATAAGACGCGTAAGTAGCTGGATCATAGTTTCCTGATCGATAGCCATTCAAATTGTATTCTTGTTTGCCATTCCCCAGAGTTCTTTCAAGCCGGCAGCGGCGCAGATTTTACTATGTTTGATGCACCACGTACTGTGCCTAGTCCAACAGCTGCTCTGGCCCAGGATATTGTAGGCAAACAACCGCACAAAATGCAGTTGATGAAATCATCACTGTTTGTAGAAGATCAAGGCAGCGACGATGAATTAGGTATGAATACGTTTCAAGGATCTCAATCTATCAATCTATCTATCTAAATCTCAATGTATGGATAGAAGAGACCTCGATAATAAACTATATCTCTTGTGTTTTGTCATCTAAAATTGGTTTCTGCCTCAAAAGATGCACAGCCAAAATTGAATCCACCTCAGGTGAAGCGCACCCCCAATTTATTTAACAAGGACACATATCTGTGGAAGGAACCGGCTGCATCGGAGAGCTCAAGTGATTATGGTCGACAATCACCACTTTTGGCCGTCTCCTCATCCGCTTCAGTTACCAGTATAATTCGCGACGTCCAATCGGAGGAGGTAAATCAGATATTGCATTATAATATCAAATATAAAAGAAATGATAAATATACGTATTTCTCACTTGTAAATATTGTTTTTTGGTTATCCTTGCAGGCTTCATCGGTGGTAGCTGAAAGTGTGAAGCCTGCCCAAAAGAAGACTCCAGCAACATCTTTGGGCAACCAACTCAAACCATTCGACTTTGTTATAAAACCCAAAGTGGCACCTATTAAGGTCTTCGGCTCAGTGGTACCCTTGACTCGATCCATAGCATATGGTCACTACAGTCACTGGATTGCCGATCTCGGCTTCTACAAAGGACGGAGTTTCAAACTCAGCTTTGGACCACAAAACACATTAATGATACCCAACACGTTTAACAATCTACGCAGCGTTCATGAGGGTGAGTGCGCAGATATATTTTATTCACAACCAGGATTCTTTCAAGTACAAATACATATTTTGTTTTATAGTCAAAAACAAGATGTTGCCCGCGGCGCTAGTATTTCAGCCACGAGCCTCTAATGATTTATCATCAAATGTGCTACAGCGTATAAAGTTCAACACGGTGGATATGTATACTCAGTTTGCCGAAAGCATTGTACCTCACTTGATAGTCCAACTGGAAGATTGCAGCTTCAACAAGGTGGAAGGCAGCGGATGCCCTTGGCTGCAGTCCAACAATGGAACACAACTGATTGCCAAGCACCTGGCCGAAGCCATTAAGCTGAACAATACCAGCACCATGGCTGCTTATGGTGTGTCCGTGTGGTCGCTTCTATTTGCACTGTGGGGAGAGCATGATGAGCTCATTGGACGGGATGACAACTCACATTATGTGATCATGTGTCGGCGCAATCTGCTTTCGGAGTGGTTGGAAAACACGTTGGTTAGCAAAGACCTGTTATCAAAGAAGGTCAGCAGCAATAGCTACCTAGAGCACATGCTAGAATTGTTAAGCTGCCATCGTGTAACCGAAGCTTGTGAATTGGCTTTTAAATACGATGATGCAAACTTGGCTTTGATCCTGGCGCAGCTTAGCTCTGGGGCTGTGGTGCGTCTACTCATGGAGGAGCAACTGTTTGCTTGGCAACAGAGCAAATCCGATAAATACATAAGCCTGGAGCGTATCAAGATGTTCATGTTGGCCGCAGGCGTGCCACTAATGATGTCCTCGCATGGTCCCATAAATCTGCTTGAGGACGGTAACTGGCTAAACGTATTGGCGTTACAGCTATGGTACTTTACTGCGCCCACGTCGACAATAACTGATGCCTTGTTGGAGTACGACAAGGCCTTCCAAGCCGAAGAACTCTACGCGCATGAGCCGAAACCAAACTACAATGGCACCCCCTACAAGAGCAAGAATCCTGTATATGATCTGCGTTACCACCTGCTGCAGCTCTTCTCCAAGCGTAAGCATTCCTTGGAGCAAACATTGAACCCAATTACACATACCTCCGATCCAATGGACTTTCGGCTGAGGTAAGCTCTATTAATAGTAGTTTTAATAAATAGTTAATAATTTGTCCATTATTTGTAGCTGGATGCTGCTGCAAACCTTAGAAGCACTAGGCTATAGACATTGCAACCCCTTGACAGAGGCGCAGTTTCACGTGGATTTTGCCAGCCAGCTAGAGAATGAGGGCTTGTGGCAATGGTCCGTATTTGTGCAATTGCATATCAAAGATCGTAATCAGCGTGAACGCGCTGTGCAGCACACACTGCAACAGCATGTCAGCATAGACGCCCATGCGGCACTAAGCGAAGAGGAGCAGTTTGTCATCCACCAATTAGGTGTGCCGGAAACTTGGGTGGACTATGCAAAGGCATTAAAAGCTGGTGCCAAAGGCCAGCGCCACATGCAAGCAAAGTATTTATTAAAGGCCAAGCACTGGGTGTTAGCCCATGAAATCATCTTCCAATATATTGCACCAGATGCCGTGATAAACAGTAATTTTAAAATATTTTTTATATTTGTTATTCCTTATATTAATCTAAACTTTTATTGCAGGTAATTTGGAGTATTTGTACAATCTGCTGAGCCAGTTTGAGTCTACGGAGAGCACCGTCAAAGTACCAAACTGGACAAATCAGGGTCAGATATTTCTGGATTACATTGATATCAACGAAAAGTTCAAGCACATACACAACGTAAGCAGCGTGGAGGATATACAAGCGCGCTGGGAAAATCTGAAGCCGCAGCTCAGTGAGATTTGTTCACGTATCAGTCTGCTGCCATGCCCCACATCCAAGCATCGTCTTTGCCAGAGTGAAATAGCAAAGAGCTTGAGCTGCTTGGTGAATGGCATGTGCATAGTTTGTCCTGAACTGGAGCCATGTGTTGTATTAAGAATGGCTTTAGAGCGTTTGCCCATGCCTCAAGAGTTTTCCACCAAAGAGCTGAACAATCTGCTCGACGAGCTGATGCAAAAGATACAGAGCCAGCGACCATTCACGGAATCGGAAACAGCGCCACTCCGGACCAACGGGAGCATATTGATGCAAAGCTAAATAATATGGACCTATTAATAGATAGATAAACCTGGAAAAATTGAAACACAGACGATATATAGTTTAGCCTACCAACCATTTCAATTAGAGTTAATATATATATATATATAGTTTTACATATAAAAATACGCATGCAGTTATCTGTTATGACAAAAATATAAATAACTTAAAAGAAAAAGGAAAATTTGTGTAAAGTAAGCTACGTTTCGTTACAAACCTCAGCTAGAAATGCTATCACTTAATCTTAGTTATTTGTTCACCATTTAAAATTGCTAGGATGTCAATAATTAATAACTACGTATTTTTGATAAACAATAAAATTGATCTTTGTTTTAGTCGGTTAAAGTTGAAAGTGAATTATGTATGTACCGGTAAAGATTAAAGTTAATTTAACAGCTTTGATAAGCAAAACAAACAAAAAATCAGCTATTTACTGTAAGCTCAATGGTTTCATTGTTGGTCAATAACTAAAAACTAGTTCGATTAAACTGGCTGTGGGTCGATTTTTCTCAGCTCTAGCATATTTTGTATAAAAACTGCGCGATGATCATCGGTATCAGCCGAGATAAAGCTTTTGAAAGCCCCGATTAGATGTGGATCGTACCTGCGGTGCTTGATACCTTTAACTGTCTGATAAGTCGTCGATGGACTTTTGTTAGGATTGCAGCGTTTGTAATCAACTTTAGTTACTTGGGTTATAGTAACGAAAATACGTTCAAAGAATTACTAATTAGTTGGAATCTATTGCTTAGAATTCTACAGGTGGTCATGACGGAATCCAAACCGAATTCCTGGTGTGGACGCCAAGACAAGCTACGCGAGTTTGCCAAGCATCAGCCCATCATATGCTATGACAAGCCGCCCTCCGCTCTTGTTTCTAAAGAAGAATACGATGTACATATGTATGCTGGAATTGAATTTTGTCAAGTAAATAATGGGAATCGTCTCCTTGCCTTTCAGAATAAGCGCTATGAAGCGTTGACTGGCGAGCTCGTGGAGGCATTGGTGGTGCCCAAGCGGGAGGCGCGCACCTGGACCATGCAGACAGGTGATCTGTGCCGCATAACAGTGCACGAGGGCCCTCAGGTGGGGGATGTCAATTTCTGGAACTTGGACAATTGCCAAGAACGTTTCTATTCGGGAAAAACGCGCCAGCTGCACGCAGCCCATCTGAAGGTGTACGACAGATTGTGGAGCTGCCTGCCCTACCTGCGCCCAATGGCCACCTTCGTGTTCGACACCCTTGCCCAATATGGCATCGATGAGGATGGCGGCGCACTGCATGATGTTATCGGCACTCGATGTGACGACTACACCTACAAGCTGATCACCGGGCAAGAGCGTGTGGGCAGCTGTCACAGCTCCCTCGTCAAAGCTGTGGTGGAGGAGCGCGGCATGACCGAGCAAGATGTGCACGATGTATGGAATATTTTCATGTGCACTGGCTTCACCAGAGACACCGAACAGTATTTCTGCAAGCCCAGCCCCGCCCAGAAGGGCGATTTCATTGAGTTTGTTGCCGACATGAATCTGTTGGTGGCCCTAAGTGCCTGTCCCCAAGGTGATGTCTCCATCCCAGTGGGTATACAAGTGCCTGACGAGAAATGTCATCCATTGAAAGTTGAGGTATTTCGCAAAAAGTGATTGGAAACTAATGAAAATCGTTATATTGCATTGGAAATGTAATTGAATAAAAAAAAATCAAATATTATTTACTTCTTATTAACAGTAAACTGAATAATATAAGTACAGTGTTATTAAGTTATATTTATTATTTAAAATGATTTCATTTATGGAGAAGTTTTACTCTACAATTATTATATATTGTAAACAATTTGGGCAACAGATTTACCAAAATTCAAAAGAAGATTCTTATTTCATCAGAAAAATACTATACCAATTCCTTGGAATTTTGTATTTGTGTTTTGCATTCCATTAAGACATAAATTCAAATTGGAATCGATGTTTACACGATGAAAGACGAGAAATCATTTTCGAGCGCATATTTAGTATTTTATCTTTGGTATTTTATTACATTTAATTAGATTTATATGGTCGCACTGAACACTGATTAGTTTGTCAATGTTGGAAGAATATATTAAAACCGCTCCATAATGCATGAGATTCGCGGCGAGGACAACCATGAAAAACTTCGCAATTACATACTTAATCCGGATATATCCATTCATGATCCGGTGCCCGATGTAGTGCCGCGTAAATTGAATGAAATGCGCCTGTTGCACATTCCCAAATGCCCGGGAAGTACAAAACTAATTCCACGTAGGGATTTGATTACCGGCGAAATACTCGAGTTCGTTGAGGTGGATGTGGAGGATGTGGGGGCAAATGCCAATAATTCAATGTCCATGCAGCGCGAACCGGGTCTGCTGGAAGAAATAACGCGAGGCTCGCCCATGAACTATCCTTTCTGGCCGGGCGGCTTCGATGCCAAAGAGCAGAAGTCCCAGATTGCTAAATTCGATGTGGATAGCTTTGAGCTGGGAGAAAAGCTGCTAACCGTGCCGCCGGGCTTTTCAAGTGGTCATGACTTCTCATTGCACACGAAAAAAGTTATGGAAACGGCTACCATCACCGCCAGCAATGTAGATTTGCTAGAGAATCTAGAGGAAGACCTCGACGTACAGCAGTGGCTGCAAATAACGCGAAGCGACAGCGAGGCCGCCGGCACAAACGCGCCCCAGAGGGATCTTCAATTTCCAGCAGAGTTCAAAGACGTCGATGATGATATTATGAACGCAGACCTGAAGCCCGTCCTCAATATATCGACTACTACGAAAACATTCAGCAGTGACTGGGCAGAAATGGTAGACATCAGCCAGCCCATCACCAACTTCAAGGAGCAAATACCCTGTCCAGCCATGGAGTTTCCCTTCGAGCTCGATGTATTCCAAAAGCAGGCTATTCTTAAGCTGGAGGAACGTCAATATGTGTTCGTGGCGGCGCACACATCTGCAGGCAAGACCGTGGTGGCCGAGTATGCCATTGCGTTATCCAAGCGGGATCTGACGCGAACCATTTACACGTCGCCCATCAAGGCGCTATCCAATCAAAAGTATCGCGACTTCCGCAAGACATTCAAGGATGTGGGACTCATCACGGGTGATCTGCAAATCGAGCCTACCGCCTCGTGCCTCATTATGACCACCGAGATATTGCGTTCCATGCTTTATTGTGGCAGCGATATAACACGGGACTTGGAATATGTCATTTTCGATGAGGTTCACTATATTAACAATCCGGAACGCGGCCACGTCTGGGAGGAAGTCATCATACTACTGCCAGACCATGTCAATATTATTATGCTCAGTGCCACAGTGCCCAATACCATGGAACTGGCTGATTGGGTAGGCAGCACCAAGAAGCGCAAGGTGTATGTCATAAGCACGCTGAAGCGTCCAGTGCCATTGATGCATTATCTCTACACTGGCGCTGGCGGCAAGAGTCGTGATGACATTTTTCTGCTGGTTGATGCCCAGGGTAGATTCCTACAGGGCAACTACGAGAAGGCTGTGGAGCGCAAGAAGGAAATGCAAAGCAAATCGAAGACGGGCGGTCCTAAAAACTACGTGGGCAGCAAACAGGATCAGTGCACTTGGATTGGACTGATTGATTTCCTTAAGCGAAACAACAAGATGCCCGTTGTGGCCTTCACTTTGTCCCGCAACCGCTGCGACACCAATGTGGCTGCCCTGCAATCCGTGGATCTCAATACGGCAGTGGAGAAGGGCTCAGTGCAGAAGTTCTTCCTCCAATGCCTGGCTAAGCTGAAGCCGCCTGACCGCACTATACCACAGGTGCTGGCGCTTAAGGATTCGCTGGAGCGTGGCATTGGAGTCCATCATAGCGGCATTTTGCCAATCCTCAAGGAGATCGTCGAGATGCTCTTCCAAAACGGGCTCGTCAAGCTGCTCTTTGCCACCGAAACTTTTGCCATGGGCGTTAATATGCCGGCCCGTACAGTCATCTTCGATTCGCACAAGAAGTTCGATGGCACTGAAATGCGCAACCTGAAACCCGGCGAGTACATACAAATGGCCGGACGTGCTGGACGACGTGGCCACGATGAGAATGGCACCGTCATCCTGCTATGCAAAGGTCAAGTGCCACCGTCAATGGAACTGCGGCCTATGATTCTGGGCTTACCCGAGAAGCTGCAGTCGCAATTCATTCTCCGTTATGCCGTTATACTGACATGTCTGCGCATCGAGAGCATCAAGGTGGAGGACATCATGCAGTTCAGCTTCAAGGAGTTCAATCAGAAATTGCAGCTACCTACACAGCAGAAGCAGCTGCAGCTGGCCGAAGCAAAGTTTGCTAATCTGCCCAACCTTGGCGAGCACCTTCAGCCACTGATCTATTTCTATGACAAGTCCGTTGAGTACTGGAAGGAGAAGCATCGCATTATGGTTAGTAAGGATGCATTGAATGGTTAAATATCCAATAATCCGCGAGACTCCCTTTACAGAAATTCATTTTGACTCAGCCGAAAATTCAAAAGGAAATGAAAGTGGGACGCATCATCGTCATCACTCAGGGCAAGCATTACAATAAGCTGGCCATATTGCTTAACGTCAAGTCCGTGCTAGGCAAGGATACCGTCTACAAGGTGTTAGTGCTGGACCATCAATTCAAGAACAACGACTACGACAACGTAAATCGCGGTGAGCTTTACTACAAAATCCTCTCATTGACACCACAGCACAAATTCTTCCATCCGGAGGGCATTGGAGGACACGCTGTGCTAGACATCAGAGCCGTTGATATCCTAACGATTACAAAATCAACAATTAAAGTGGATGCTGATGTCATAATACGCAATTGGGAGCAACGGCAGTTGGAACGCTTTAAGGATTCGCCGCCTAGCGCAACAGTCGTCAAGGCCGTCACGGAGCTGCATCAGCTAAATGAAGCATACAATGCCAATCCGGACAGCATCAAATACATCAACATGTCCAAGGAAATAAACGTAAATGCGGAAACCGAAGTAGCTATGCTGAACTATGTGGATCATCTGGCACGCCAGGTGGGCAACGTGCTGCCGCATACCAATATTGCCGGCTTTGAACAGGAGTTCGCCAAGGTGTACGAGCGTCGTATGTTAGAGATTAGCATTGAGGAGTTGCGTTTCAAGAATTCGGCAAAGAATTTAACCCTTTATCCGGATTACTGCAACAAGCTGCAGGTGTTGCGAGCCCTCAATTATATCGATGACCAGAACGAGGTGACACTCAAGGGCAAGGTGGCTTGTGAAATGGGCCAAAATGAGCTGCTCATTACAGAGTTAATACTCTGCAATATGTTTAATGATCTGGAGCCGGCGGAAATAGCTGCACTATTGTCGGGTCTGGTGTTTCAGGCCAAAATTCAGGGCGAACCTGTTATCCCAGAGCCACTAAAGAAATGTGTTGCCGCGTTCGAGCAAATCAACGATACCATCTTGGCCGAGGAACAGCGCTGTCAAGCGGCAGTTGAGGCAGAAAATAATCTAAATTTTGGTCTGCTCGAGGTTGTCTACGAGTGGGCCAAGAACAAGGTAAGATTTATCTAAATTGATTCCAATTGTTTACCAGCTCGTAAATCGCATTTTTTAGCCTTTCGCTGAGATCATGAAATTAACCGAGGTACAGGAAGGCATCATAGTGAGATGTATTCAGCAGTTGGACGAAACACTTCGGGATGTTAAAACTGCAGCCATTCGAATTGGTAATCCCGGCTTGCAGTCTAAAATGGAAGAGGCCTCGGCGGCCATAAAGCGGGATATTGTATTCACAGCCAGTTTGTACACGGAGCTCTAAAAAAAAAAGAAAACATAAAAGACAAATGTTTGTTTTCCTAAAACTACATATTATGATCATGTCAATTATTACAACTCCAAAGGATACTTATAAAAATGTAAAAATATGTGTAAAATAATGGGGCGGTTAACGGTGACAGTCGCAAACAAATTTCATCGCGTCTCAGGCTTAAACTTTGGGGGCACCATCATGCCGGTCATATGCTTTTGCTTTTTTGTTTTCTTCGATTTGCCAGCGCCGGACTGAAAATCGTGCCAGCTGTTCACACGGCTTTGACGAGATTCCTCAAAATTTTGCTGCCACTCACGATCCGCTTTGATGCGTTCCTCTTCCTCGATTTCGGTTTCGCGCTTTCGCTTGCGCTCCTCCTGGTCCCGCTGATCAAGCTTTTGCCTTCGCCGTTCCATGTCAGCAAAGAGTTTCATTACCATTACGTAAATGGCGTGTTTATATTTAGCAGGATCGTCTTCAGGTATTTGCTCAAAGGATCTGCCTTCCTTTTTGAGTTTTTTACGTTTTTCGGCAATCTAAAAAACGTTCGTTCGCATACAATCGTTTTGAAAACAGAAATGAATGCTATGGACATACCATATGATCTGTACGGCCCTTGGCTTCCTCGTACACATCCAAGCACTTTTTGCGTGTTAGGTCGTTTTCCAATATCTTCCAGGAACGAGCAACAATGTCGAATGCCATTTGAGCGCGCTCCTGGTTATCGGGATTCTTGTCTGGATGTACCAGTATGGAGAGGGTACGATAACGTTTTTTTATGTCGGCCACCTCGGCGTCTGGATCAATCTGCAGCACCTCGAAAGGATTAAGATTGAAGTATGTGGAACCTGGACGAAGTAAACGATCAATTTGTTGAGTAGGAGTTAGTACTGAATCGCGTTTT